GTACGTGTGTACGTGTGTCGTAGTGTGTGTGTGTGTGTGTGTGTGTGTGTGTGTGTGTGTGTGTGTGTGTGTGTGTGTGTGTGTGTGTGTGTGTGTGTGTGTGTGTGTGTGTGTGTGTGTGTGGTCACGGTCACTACGACCCAGGAAGTAAAAAAATGGGAAAAGAGAAATCTCCAACGAGGCGTTCTGGGGCAGCATAGACAGGTCTTCTCTGTGTTAGAGTTTTACTCCCTGCAGGGTGTACTTTGAGGGTTTGTGACTCTGCAGACCGTTCACATGCAGAAAAAGCTACATAACACACAAGGGGACGGGTAACAACCAGAAAAGCATGACATGGGACCTTTTAAAGATTTGTGTTCAAGCCAAGCCAATAATAAAATAACATAAAATAAAACGTCCTTGAAAGAATCCGTCACATTAGGATGTCCTTCCTCACTGCACTGCGTTGTAACATTAAACTGTTAACATGGGAACAGTTTAATGTTCCTTTATGGTGGAGATTCAATACATGTTACTTGTTAGACGCTTTTATCCAAAGAGACTTACATACTGTGGACAATCCCCACAGGAGCACTTCGGGGTGAAGTGTCTCAGGGACGCAACAACATGCTGACTGCAGTGGGGTTTGAACCAGTGACCCTCTCACCCCAACACAAACGCACAACCCACTGCGCCACACGCCTCCCCACTCAAATACTATTCAAATATTTCCCACTCAGTTTTCTTTTTTAGGTGCACATTAAAGTCTGTTTTATTCCCTGTTTGAGCGTTTCCCTGCGTCTCTCCCCAGATGACGGGCGTTCCTCTGAACGTCTCCATCCGCCTGCAGCTCAACCTCTTCATGAAGACGGTGTCAGGAATCACGTAAGGAAATATTCCCCGATCCGCCATAACGCCATTAATGTGTGTTGTGTTTTTCATTTATGCATTGCTTAATATGACAATCTGGACACTTCCTGTTTGTATTACCCTCGGTTAACCCTGGGATGTTGTTGTTGTTGTTTTTCAGAGAAACTGGCAAGATCGCTGACGTGGTGATGCCCATGATCTGGTTTGAGGAGGTCAGTTTAACATTATTAAAATAGAGTAAAAAGCTATTATGAAGTGTATTTACATATAGATTTGTTACCATACACATGTGCCCTTTAAACAAGAAATATACACTTTTTCCATCCCATGTTTTATCATTGTTGTTTTCCTTGTTTGTGTATCATTTGTGTTCAGAAAATGTTGTATAAAAGCATTTGATGCTAGCAGTTATTATATTAAATGTAATATTGAATAATCAATTTCTTTCACAATTAATATACAATTAACATTATATTTGTTATTGGAAATTTGTGTTTCCACATGAAAATATATATTTCTAAACCTTTTAATGCTATTTTATTTCTATTTCAGAAATATTTTGAATTGTTTATTTCTGGTGTCTTAGTTTCTCTCATGCACATTGCCTTGTTTTTATGCTGCTGCAACGCAAACATTTCTTATAAGTACACGGTAACAAAAGTTTTTATATAAAATGTAAAAAATCAAGCGATAAGCATTGCATTATCTGAAAATATAATGTTGAATAAAAAATCGCGAGTCCTGGATCTTGAGTCGTGGCTGTGGTCCTGGATTATAAGTCCTGGATGGATATCCTCGTGGATTCATCTTCCTATTATACACACATGCATTTCCAAACATTTGGACTACCTATGTTGCAAATGTATTATCTTTTCAATTTACACACGGCATCTATTGCACGTCTGTCCGTCCTGGAAGAGGGATCCTTCCTCTGTTGCTCTCCCTGAGGTTTCTCCCATGTTCCCCTTTAAACTGTGGGGTTTCTCTGGAAGTTTTTCCTTGTACGATATGAGGGTCTAAGGATAGAGGGTCTGAGGACAGAGGGTCTAAGGACAGAGGGTCTAAGGAAAGAGGGTGTCGTATTGTCATACTGATATTCTGTACAAACTGTGAAGTCCACTGAGACAAATGTAACATTTGTGATATTGGGCTATATCAATAAACATTGATTGATTGATTGATTGATTGATAAACCTATGTTGCCTTAGTGTGACCCTGAGGCACAGCATAATGTGTATGACGTGTTCTTTCCTCAGAGTGGGTACATCGACGGCCCGATCCTCTCCACCTTCCACACCAACCTGGTGGTCCTCCCTGCGGTGATGGAGTTCATGCAGTACGGCTTCATCGCGCTCGGCGTCGCCACCATCATCATCGCCTCGCTGATGCACCACAAGTTCAAGGTAACGCTGAAACTAACCGGCACCCTGCTGTGACGCTTTCTAACTGCACGGGGCACGGCAACACACACGCATGGTCCCCCGCTAACGCAGAGGAAGAAAGAGCAAAAAACATTTGTGTAATAACTTGTAGTTTTTTAACCCCCTCGCGGACAGGAAGAGTTGTCTTGAATATGGGTACGAGACAACCTTAGTCTTTGAGTTAATTAAACAGTAACCAGAAGAAGTTAGTGACGTTTGTCAACTGGGTTTTTTACTTTATTCTCAAATATATAATGTCTTGAAATATCCAAACTTTTATTGAAACTAGAAAATATTATAGTTAATACTCAATGTATTTTGTCGCTCAATTTCAGGACCTACTTCTTGAAATAATACTTTAACTTTATTTCTTAAATATTGCTTCATGATGATAACATTTCCTCATAATATTTATATATATGTTATATATTTACTTATATTAATAAGTACACAACTCTTGTACTTGAGTAAAAGTAGAAGTACTCAGATCTTGCACTTGAGTAAAAGTAGAAGTACTCAGATCTTGTACTTGAGTAAAAGTAGAAGTACTCAGATCTTGTACTTGAGTAAAAGTAGAAGTACTCAGATCTTGTACTTTAGTAAAAGTAGAAATACTCAGATCTAGTACTGGAGCAAAAGTAGAAGTACTCAGATCTTGTACTTGAGTTAAAGTAGAAGTACTCAGATCTTGTACTTGAGTAAAAGTAGAAGTACTCAGAGCTTGTACTTGAGTAAAAGTAGAAGTACTCAGGTCTTGTACTTGAGTAAAAGTAGAAGTACTGATCCACTGAGTTCATTCATCCAAATCTGTGAAGTAACTAAAGGTATTAAATACATGTAGTGAAGTAGAAGTACACCATGTACCTCTGAACTACAGGAAACATGCTGGTATATTGATTTCCAATCAGCCAAACATTGCGTAAATCCTGGTGAATTACTGTGTGTTTTAAAAGCCTCACAGGTACGAACACAAAAGGTGTTTTTCCTCCATTTCTGATTCCTGTTGACGGCAGGAGTTTCAAGGCTTCTGTGAAACAGGATCGCACACTTTGTATCATCATATATATATATTTATAAGTTGGTTTTGATGTTTGCAGAGGGCTCGTACAAATGTGAAAATGACTTCCGAAGGACTGGACAACCCCGGGGTAAAACTGCCGGCTCCTAAAAAATCTATCAATGATTATCAATCAAATTTTAAGTTCTTTTTATTTCACTGTGATTACACAAAGCTTGACATTTGGGGATCAGTTGATTTAAGTTTAGTTAATCTAATCAGTGCAGTATGAATATTTTATCTATTTAACGTTTTTATTTTGAGGAATAACATTTTATTTATTGATTTTTAGCCACAATTTTGGAGATAACAATTATTTGAATAAAGTCTAATCAGTGCAGTATTAATATTTTATTTATTTCCTTTTTTAATTTAATTTTAGTAATTTAATTGATTGGTTTCACAATTTTGGAAACATCTTATGCAGTTTAATCTTTTTTTAAAACTATTATTTTAATTTGGAAAAATGCAAAAATCTGACCATATTTTATTTTTAATGATATTAAATAAAATATATGTTATATCCTACAAGTCTGACAGTACAAGCATTGTGGACATGACTTATTTCACATCACTTTTAAATATCTTTACAGCCTAAAAATGATTTAATTCAGTTAAAAAGCAAAGTTGCAGCTCAACTCATTCCTAATGTTAGATTTTAGAGCTTTTCCTGCATGATAATCAGTTCCTTCACAAAGCTGTGGACATCCCCTCTCTCCCATCTCTCCCCTCTCTCTCTCTCCTCTCTCCCCTCCCTCTCTCCCCTGGATTTAAACGTTGATGTTTAAACGGACGCAGCTAACCAATCACGTTACTGCACGGTAAAATAAGAAATCCTTTGCATGAACTCTGAACTCTGCACATCCACGATCTAAAAATATTTACAGCTCCAGTTTTTCACTCCTTAATCAAACCTGCAGCTTCTTGTACATTTTATATTATTATTTCTTGGTATTGTCCGATTGGCTAATGTGTAAGGTGGTCTTTTAGGCGTCCTATAAAGAGTGGGCTAAAGGTGACCAAGACAAAAAGGAGAAATGTGACATAAATAATGCAGGTGGGTGAAAACACACAGGTATATTTATTTATTGTTTTAAGTTTCTCATTGTTTTTTTATTGTTCTTAATATTATTATATATTTTTTTCTACTATTTAATTTTTATTTATTTCCCATTTAATAATTTCTTGGTTTTTTTTCATCAATTTTTCTCGTTTATTTCTATTTCTATTTTATTTTTTTGTAATTTCTTTCTCAGTTGTCTCTATTTTCTTTTTTTTTTGTAATTTATTTCCTTTTTTCTAGTTTTCTCATTCATTTTTTTTCCAATGTATTTTTTTCTTGTTTTTATAATTTTAATTGTTTGTCTTTTTCATTCTTAATGACACAACTATAGAATTATAAAAATTAATAAAAATATACATTTATAAATGGGCTTTAGTTAAGCCCCTGTCACACTGTCCCGAAATTGACACCAGATGGAAAAAGGAAATGTTCAAATTCGGCTCTGATCGTAACAACATCGGGCCATTCGTGAGGGCATCTTAAGCCATCGTATGACCGCTGGTGGAGTTTCTCAGGCTCCGGCAGCAACTTCGTGAGCGGTGGCAAAATCTTTGGCATGCCAGCAAATTGCCGAAGGACCTTGCGAAGGTTCATTTTCGTGTTGAATTCGTGTTTCCATTTTGCCCTTCGTAAGGCCATCGTGAGGGCATCTTGTCAAATCGTGGCATCTTCGTCTTTACTTTGTTTGATCATCGGTGCCATCGGGCCTTTTTCGCCTCACGAAGACAATACGAAGGAAACGAGAAGCTGCCCGATTGTCTTTGGAAGGCAACACGACTACGTGAAGCCCTCGCGATGCCGTCGTGTAGCCATCGTGTTATAATACAATTTGTGTTCTGTGAAACTGAAAAGGATATTACATTGTTTTTGTTACTTTCGTTGCAGTTGTATGTCTTAAATGTAATTTAGGTTAACATCCTGTTTTATTTAGATGCTTTTATTTTNGCGCTATGCCAGCGTTTGCAGGTGCCTCGTCAGCAACACACACACACACACACACACACACACACACACACACACACACACACACACACACACACACACTGTGTGTGTGTGTGTGTGTGTGTGTGTGTGTGTGTGTGTGTGTGTGTGTGTGTGTGTGTGTGTGTTGCTGACGAGGCACCTGCAAACGCTGGCATAGCGCAGCATAAATAAAGAGCCTGTGAGGGGACACAAACAGCCTCATTGTCGGGTTGCTGCAGACATCTGTTGCTGACGACAAAAATGTTGGCTCAAAAAGTGTGATGAGAGATACAACGGACAGGCTTTCACATCCTGTAAGAAAGGTTACTTTATCGGCCGTACTATTATGCTGATAACATAGATCTGCACAGATGTTAACCTGTTAAGACCCAAGCATGTTTTTCAGGCCTCAGCTCGAAAATGACATTCCTAGAACAAATTACTATATATTCACTTCTAAAAAGGGGTAAATTAATAATATTTTTTCTCAAAAGCAATGATAAACCTGTTTGAACATAGTAAAAAAAAATTACTAGTACTTATAGTGAAAACCACCCTTGAATGATGGGATAGTAGACTAAAACCTTTAGGAATCCAAACTACAACATATAATAAGTACCCTGTATCAAGATTGATGCAAAACAAGTGACATTTGACCTTTTTAGAGAGGTATAGAAAAAAATTAACACTTCTGGGATCATTTGGGTGGATTTGCCATATGTCTGGAATCCATTGGTCGATTTTGATGATTGACACCTCTTTTGAGAAGTTCGAGCCAATGGAATTGAGGAGAAGTCCCTGAATCCATCTAAACATTTCCATTGAGGAGTGAGAGTGATGCACACTCAGGCCCATTCCCAAACCACCCCCTACACCCTACCCCTCCGTTTGCGCGTTCACGCGGAGGGTCCGCCATATTGAGGGCTGTTCCAAACC